CATGATCGACTAGAGCAACTTTTTTCTTGAAAAATGCCTCAACGTGGTTCAAACTTATCTGACTAAAAGCAGCATAGTTCCTGGCCTCTACAGCCGTATTACACCGGCAGTTGGATACTCTAGAAGTTGCATAAAAACCAATTAATGATTCAGTTATATATATGAAGGATGGAGAATGGAGAGTGGTCATGAAGATCACCGGTATCATGGTGGATTATCTCAATGAGATAGACCCAGAATACCGCGACTATGTTGTGTAGAAGAAAGGCAAGAGGGTACTCTATGTTGTAATCCTCAGGGCTATCTATGGTATGCTGGTCGCATCTCTACTCTTCTACAAGAAAATCCGTGCAGATCTCAAAGGAGTGGGATTTAATTTCAATCCTTATAACCCTTGTGTTGCAAATCATGATGTCTACGAGAAGCAGCAAACAATTCGATTCCATGTGGATGATTTGTTGTCGAGCCACGCAATGCCGAAAGTCAATGATGAGTTTCTGGTATGGCTAAACGAGACCTACAGATCTTACAAGGAATGCATTTCCACTTGTGACAATGTGCATGTATACCTTGGGATGACTTTAGATTTCTCAAAGAAAGGCAAGCTGAAGATTTGCATGGACGACTACGTGAAGCGAATGCTTGATGAGTTCCCAGTCAAGTTTGGCGAGAGCGATCATCAAGAAACCCCAGCAGGCAACACGCTGCTGGACTTTGGAAACAGACAAAAGCTGGACACTGCTCGTCAAGAGGTGTTCCATTCTTTTGTCGCCAAAGGACTCTTCTTATCTAAGAGAGCCCGACTCAATATTCTACATACAATATTGATCCTGGCGTCACAAGTGCGTGAGCCAAATGAAAGCGATTGGAAGAAGATCGTCTGTCTTATGAGATACTTGCACAGTACTCAAGGATAGCATCTTTTGATCAGTGCTGATTCACTGTGCATCATGAAGTGGTATGTTGACACATCGTTTGCGGTCCATCCAGACTTCAAGAGCCACACCGGAGGCTCCATGTCTATGGGGAAAGGTGCAGTTCAAGTTGTTTTTAAGAAGCAAAAGTTGAACACCCAAAGCAGTACTGAAGCTTGTTGGTGTTGACGATGTCATCACTATGATCCTGTGGACCAAGCTGTTCATGGAAGCTCAGGGATACCCAATTGACAAGAATATCCTCTATCAGGATAATCAAAGCGCTATTCTTTCGGAAGTGAATGGGCGCAAGAGTGCTGGCAAGCGAAGCCTTGCTCTGAACATCAGATACTATTTCTTGATCGATCAAGTTGAGAAGGGCAACCTGGTTATTGAATACTGCCCTACCGGCGCTATGATTGCGGATTTCTTCACTAAGCCTTCACAGGGTGAGAAGTTCCGTTAATTCCGCAATGAAATCCTTGGTGACCAAGACTAAGTGATCTTGGAGCCGCGACAAGCCACATCTACATACATGTGTGTGTTCTTTGTGCTGAGCTTGTCACGAAATGAGTGATACATATATACATGACTACATAAGGAGAAGAGATACTTTGTACCTCGAAGACTGTGCCGTTATCCACAACTGTCCGTCGTTGAAACGGAAGGAGTGTGTTGGCGGTATTCAAATTTTCATTATTGACTATTGAAGTAATGGATTTTTATTTGGACTAACATATTCCCTGGATCTGATCCGTGATCAAGTGTGGGACTTATACATTCCTGCATGACTAAAAGGACCATATATTTGGACGGTTCAAAAAGGACGGGAGCGCAGGCGACAAGTTTCTGGAGATATTATGAGAAGCTTGAAAAGCTTTATTATGGAAGCTATTCTGAACCTTGACATGCTAGTGTCAAGAGTTGTCACTTGAGTACGAGGGTCTAGGGAAAGAGCTACGTGATCAATGGAACATGAGGTGTCAGCCCTCATCTGATTCCCAATTGATCAAGCTCACAATCCAAACAAAATCCCAACTGGATAAGATAAAATAAGAAAGACTGTTTCATATTGAAAGAAGTGTTTGATAGACGTTATTGACACAGGAGCTAACTACCAAGCCGCCGAAGATCCTATTTCAGGAGAGAAGCAAGAACTAGGGGCGTTGAAGCACCCAAAGCTAGTTGCATTCTCATATTTCTGACATCGTCCATGTTGCTTCCATTGACCCAATACGATTTCTTGTTGATACAATTGCTCCTTTTCTTGTTTTTTTTTCATATTTGTGATGCAACGTGGCAGTCATCGCGGCAAACGGCGCATTCTCCATACTGACAGGAACAGCTGACATCATAGCGAACGCGTTGCGTTGGAAATGATCAGGGTTGAAAATGTCCACCCCATGTGTTGACTGCTTGTGTGAATAAACTTGGTGGCTCTGGCTGCAAATCAAATGCGTTTGGGCTTCGAATCTCGGGCTGGCTTCCACTTAACGAGATAACGTTGTTCTCCTGACTCTTGTTGTAGGGAGAGCGCACTAGTGCATTGATGTAGCTACTGTTGGACATGATAGACGGTGATTGATATTGCTATTGGGGTGTATTTATGAGGATCTGAAGCAGCTGTGAGTAGATGATGGATGATTGATCTTGGGCTTGAGATTGGCGACGACCGTTGGCCTTCGATCGCTCTAATACATCTGCTCGGGACTCCGCAGTCTAGTTAGTCACGTTACGTCCTGGATTCTCATCCTTGTTTCTATATCTTGTCTTTCCATCTTTACCCACAGCTGCTGTTGTGCTGGTGGCTAGTGTGCAGCAGGCCATTTTGTCACCGTCCTTGCCAACGTCGAGGGCACGGTGTGATGAGCAAATTGACGAAAGATGAGCGGTTGCACAGAGTATAATTATACAGGTCTGCAAATGGTGCGTAACGTGCCGTAAAGGCTAAAACAGTTGACTGAGTCGAACATATGGTCGATTGAGTCGGCCGAAAAAGGAACAGTCGTCGTCAACTGCGACACGATGCGACACGGAGCTACAGAATAAATAGCTTTAAATGTTGACACCCGAACATCAAACCCCACCGTACATCTCAGTTTTCACGTGCACACCCGCAAAGCAGTAAGCAAAGCTGCCCTGGGAAAAGAAGATGGGCCACTTTGCAGATTAAAAAAACAAAGTAATTCCCAATTGTTACAAGTTATACAGTACTCCAACGAAAGCCTTTCCGCGAATCACTTTTCAAGAACGAAACGAAAATCAAAGTACTGTGCGCCCGTGGGCTTTTACATCATTGATGTACAAACACTAGGAAGTTGATTTCTGCTCTGTGCCCGTGCCACGGGCATCCTGGTTATCACCAGCTTCAAAGGTTTATTCTTCCGTTCGCTCCTTTTCTGATTCGTTTTCCATAAGCTTCGACTGATAAGGGAGGCTTTTTTTGACCTCTGTAGAATAAGTTTCCGTGTCATCCTCTGTATCCTTTTCAGGCTTCTTGTCAATGATTTCTCCCCCCACAGGCTCTGTCATCGTAGCAGCGACCATATCGTTATGACGACGGGCCCCTTCTTTATTGCCTAGAGCATGCTCAAGGGCCCCTTGCAAATACGGAGTTACAATTCCTTTCATAGTAGTTTTCATTTCTCGCGCAATGTGTCTCAGCTCAGATGCGTCGCCACGAAGTCCTGGAGTGAGAACTGCTCTCTCGTTCGCTTGCAAAATAGCATCAATATCAACGAGTGCAGCTTGCAACGACTTTCGCAATTTTGGAAAAATGCCAGGCAAAAGACAGCGCCGCAACTCGTTCAGTCCACTCAAGAAAGCGTTTACAAGACGACCGAGTGGAGGTAATGCCATTAGTTGGCGTGGTGGTGGAAGTGTACTTCCATCTGCAATATACTCAGAAGATACAGCGTCTGCAACAGTCGACGAAACAAGCGGCGCAGCGACGACAGCATCCCTGCAAATCTTCAAAGTATCAGCGAATTGATGCACACCATCAGTCCACGATGCAACAACCAGAGAGTGCATTTTGGATTCGAAGAGAGGTGCCAAACTCGACGTGAAGTCAGCCCCTAATCGCCCCATTGAAGTGGAAAAGAAAACACAAGAATCCAATGCATCACGAAGTGAAGCCGAGTTGTCAATTACACATAGTTGGTCCTCGAGCGTCGCAAGAAACGATCGAACCCTTCTGACAGCCCACATATTTAATAATGATGCTGCTATTGCACTGCTGTTTGCCTGCGCTCGGAAAATTGCATTGAACTGAGTCGCAATTTCAAACATTCTTTTGCAACGATGAGATCTGTTCTTCACATAGCGAATACCACGTAGTTCAACAATTCAAGAATCTCACCTTGTTCTATATCGCTCGATTGAATCTAAAAGTTGCTCTGAGCCTGCTCGAATTGATGCATCCTCACCGACAGAACCAGGACGCGACTCTCCATTTGTGCTCGGTTGGTCAAGCCATACATCCCGTGCCTCCAAAAAGTCGACCTGGAGACTTAGCTCCATCGCCCCGTGCACTCTTTCAAGATTTGACTCAGACTGCCGTTCCAAGTCTATGGAATTCAAGCGCCGCAAAGCTGTGACAATTTCAAGGCATTGTGGCATTGACACATAACTTTTCAAACAGAAAAGAAGATGACGACGAAGGTCGCTCTGCCTCGATCGCACCTGCGAGATCACCTTAAGTACAACGTCATTTTTCTCAGCATGACGTCGCTCAAGCGTGTTTGCAAATGCCGCGATGCTCAAGGCCTCCTCGTAAAGGTTTGATCTTACGCAAGCATCCATTAGAGAAGGAAGTTCCAATAGCTCCAATAAGGTCGAATGTTGCAGTAGCGTCCTTCGACGAACGCGATGCTTTTCAGAGAGGGCAGCAAGGGATCCGTCACTTTCGTCCTCTTGCTCTAGGGAATGCTCGCAAGTCGAAACGCGGCTCTCAATGCTTTTAGCAGATTCCAGCAACTTTCTAAGCTTTTGCTCAAGTCCGTGACCTCGGCGTTCTACGGAAACGAAAGTACCAGCGTACGATGCACAAAGGGATCGAAGCTTTTCTTCAGAAGACTCCAAGGCTGCTTTCGCAGCCAGTCTTTCGTCAACATCTTTTCCTGGTAGCAGGAGCTCTGCCATTTCGACACGGTCTTATTGCTCTGAAAATGCTTGCTGTATCAAAATTGGTTGATAGGAGAGCAGACAGACTGATCATGATTGATCGTCATCGTTGATCGTTGATCGTCACTCGTCACTCGTCACTCGAAATTGAACCAAGATTCAACTCGACTCTGGCTACCGGGATGATTGGTTGATTGATTCCTTCTCACATCATTCCTCTCCTTCAAAACTTTGCAGTTAGCAATGTTAGCGTGACGCCAAAACGAGTTCTCTGCTCTTGAGACACGCACAGATCACTACCAGTTACGATGATCCAAAACTGCACTCTACCACCACCACCTTCTGTATAGAAAGGTTTCCATGGAACAACGGAAAGAAAGAATTCGACGTAGCACGGCAAGACAAAGAGGGAAAGGGAAAGCGCCGGGGCGCCTGGAGCCGTTTCCCGTACAACAGCGAATATATACAGCACTGAAGAAAAGTATTGCCACAGGGAGCTACAAACATAAATTCAATGCTTCATTGCTGAAGGAGTGTATTACTTGGCAGAGCCAAGTTGGAGAAGACAAATACACACAGAAACTCAACAAAGAGAAATCCCACACATCAAGCAGACTCAACCCTTGATGCCAACGATCCTTTAGGTAGTGTTTAATTCTGCAAGGGGGTGGCATAGACAAGTAAACGAGGCTTAAGTGTACAATCTACTACGGTATAAAATGAGTAGCTTTGTTAGAATAAAGCAAAATGTGCTCTATCGTGAGTGCTTTTAGCGCTCAGAACAAACTCTCTGCAATCTAAATTCGTAATCGACTGTACAACACTTTCACGACAATAGTTCTCCTGTGTCTAGG